TATACTATATATGTACTCTTGCATATATACTATATTTGTAGTCATTCGAACTGCGTGCCGAATTGGTTTTCCGGACCTATAAATGCAATTAAACTACTGTAGTAATATCGCGAATTAAATTAACAAGCAATTTTAATAATTTAATGCTCAATTAGGTATCATATTAAAAAGATGTTAATATGCTGAAAAACTGTAAATAAATCTATTGCGAAAAATATTACCTCGGCCGGGAGTCGAACCCGGATCTCTTGTATTCCGTTCTTGTATGAACGTCCTAAGTCTTTAGATTAATGTTGATAAGTCCGGAAAACCAATTCGGCGCGCAGTTTGAATGACTATAAATATGGCACATATACAAATGTATATATAGTATATATAGTAATTCAGATTGAATTATTTAAGCATTAAAAATCTAGCTTTGACCGTTATAGTCATTACTTCTATTTCTTATTGTTCAATTTTCAAATGTATGGTCCAGTAAAATTCTTGTTTATAAATTTTTGAAGCATCATGAACTTGCGTACAAATTCTAATGAATTGCTGCTGCTAAATTTAATATTAAAATATCTCAGAAATAGTTGACCGTGTACGCCCAAATAAGGGTGATGATTATATTCAAGGGAACACACTATAATCCTGTCAAGTTTCATTGAAATCAATGAAGGCCACTTCTGAACTTCATTGTAAGTCATGCAGCATCCCACTAAAATTGAAGTAACTCACTTTGGGAACATATTATCTTATTATGTACATATATCTAACTTTTATATTACAGATTTAAAACAATGCCATATGTCACTGAAGAAGATAAAAGTGTAGTCAGCACACCTATAAAGGAAAGATTGACGAAATTGATTCAGGAAGAATCTGGGGATGTTTCGATAAAGACCGAAGATGAGGCAGTACCAAGTAAAAAAACTAAAGTCTCAGGTATTTTTTTTTTTTTTTAGATAATTACATATAACGCATCTCCAATTATGCAGGCAACGTGAAATAGACATTTTAGATCAATTCCTAATTACAGGTATGGAGTTCTTACTTGGTGGCCTATGCACTACAAAGGCCGGTATGCCCGCGGAAGAAAAAGCTGATCTCGAAATTGTTCAATATCAGTCGGAACCCACAGCATCTCTCGATTATTGTCCGCTGCAATGGTGGTCGAAGGTGTCGGCGAAATGTCCGAATCTAGCAAAGTTAGTGAGCAGATATCATTGTGTGCCCGCTTGTTGCGCACCACCTTCGCGCATCCCGCCAGACGTGCAGATTCAATATGATACAAGGCGAGCAACTTTGCCGCCTCATCTGATTGACAAACTACTCTTTTTGCATGGTAATCATACCATGCAGATGTAAAAGAAGTTTCTAAGCCTGCAAGATGCTGCCTGAAAAATATCTCGCTGTGGTATATAGGATATTTTCACGAACAATCAAATTTACTTGCAATAATTTAGTCCAAAGTGACATACATGTGCAAGTAAATTCTTTGTATAATTTTCTCTAATTCTGTATACAATGTAAGTATTATGTAAGTATTTATAAGAATGTCAATTTTGTTTTTACTTTTATTGAACATTCCTAAGATTTGATATAAAAATTATTAGTCATTACCTAATAAGTGAAATGCAAGGTTAAGGCTCCTGAGTAGTCATTCCAGCCATATTGAATCGTGACGTCATGAGCAAGAAATAACACGTTGATTTTTCTTGCATATTATTTGTGAATAAAAAGAATCTTGATGAAACGAAATGATGAGATCGCTTTAAAACCCTTGTAAAAATGGACAAAGACTCTCCTTATCTCCCCTGATAGTCGAGTCGAAAAAAGCTCGTGAAGTGAAAATAGGCTACGTATGCGCATTGAGTAAAAACTAGTAAACACACTTTACGTGCCTTTTACGACTATTTCCAGTATTTACAGTATTGTCAAGGGAGATAAGGATAGTTTTCATCCATTTTTGCAAGTGTTTTAAAGCGATCTCATCATTTCATTTCATTCAAATTCTCTTTATTTACAAATGACATGCAAGAAAAATCAACGTGTCGCTTATGACATCATGATTCAATATGGCTGGAGTGACTACTCAGGAGCCGTAAGATACATTCCGAATAACGCATGAAGCGCATCGTGCAATATTTGTCTCTGTTCATCGAATAATGAAGAAAGATAAAATAATACATTATGCACTTCATGCATAACTCGGAACGCACCCTTAAGGTATCGCGCATGATGTGCATGATGCATCCATTGTCCTTGTTTAACATTTGGTGAGCAACAAGGATAAACGATGCATTATGCGCATCATGCGAGAAACGGAACGCACCCTTAATGTAATAGAGTTTTACATATAAGGCGAGGTTAATGTAAGAGAGTTTTTGCATAATTTAATTTTTAATTTATAATTAATAGAAGCCGATATAAGAAAGATCTCCGTAGTAGAACCATTAAATTATTTTTACGTAAACTTCTAGATTTTCTTAAAAAGAATATATTTGAAATATTCATATTTTGCACAATGAAAAGTTTTTAGATTTTCGTCTTTTCGATCGAGAAGTAAGAGCGCTCTTTTATATATTTCAATACATTAGATTCACATGAAATTGAAAGATAAATGTTACGATCAAATGTTTGTGGTCAATTTTAAGTTTGTTCGTTACAAAAAAATTATGTATAGAAAATAGTTATTACGATTAATAATAACTATTAATATAAATTATGTCTTATAATGCCTGTTCTATATTAGGGTCGCAAGTAAGCCGTAAGAATTGACCAATCACAGTTAAATGTGAGAAGAATAATTGACTATGATTGGTTAATTTCTTACAACTTTATTGTAGAACAAGCCTTAGGGTGATTAAAAAATGAACAAAACTTTACAATGAATACACGAACAATTGCCTACAATTGTTAGGACGTAAATAGACAGTCCCATCTATCACTCATTGTAAATATGTCTACCAATATTAACTTGTTTTTGCAAAAAAAGTCTTGTTCATATTTTAACCATTCATGTATTTTATGTTTTAATGTAATACTGCTCTGGATTGTGTAAGAGTTCGTTATATTTTTCTTTTTAATACAAATTTGATAAAATACCTAATAATATAATTGTATTTCATTATTTATACTATTATTCGTTTAAAGTGTATAAATAAATAGCATTTGCTATATTTCCTATAAATATTTGTTATCAAAAAGTGTTGAATGTATAATCGGAATTATTTCTCATTACACTGAAAAATAAACTATGAAAATTTGTAATATAATTCTATGTATATATATATACATATATATATACATAGAATTATATTACAAATTTTAAAATTGAACTCTCAATAGCGTGAGATATACAGGGTGTCCCATTTTAATCTATCACCTCAAATATCTCTTGAACAGTGCATTTTAAGGAAAAATGTTTCAGACAAAAGTTTTAGGACTTTGAGGGGGACATAAAATGGTGCCATTGGTTTGATTTTGGGTGGCGTTGTCAAGGTCAGGGCAAGGTCACTTTGAATTTTTTAAATGGAACTCCCCATTTTTCATTACGTATTCTTGTAGCTTACCTCGAGAGCTTTCCAAAACACTATAATTAAGTTCATTTTCATTAAGTACTTTACAAGTTATGAGGCTTGCAAGTTATAGCACTGCAGACATTAGCATTACCCAAGATGTCCGATCGATGGCTAAAATCTCTTAAACGTTGTTCAGGATCATTACCTGGATAATATTTGTCAAGATCAAGACCATTGGAGATTGTTCCTCTTATTTTCACTTTTGCACTAAAAATTTATTTCTACATAAAAATGAAAATAAGAGGTACAACCTCCAATGATCTTGATCTTGACAAATATTATCCAGGTAATGATCCTGAACAACGTTTAAGAGATTTTAGCCGTCGATCGGACATCTTGGGTAATGCTAATGTCTGCAGTGCTATAACTTGCAAGCCTCATAACTTGTAAAGTACTTAATGAAAATGAACTGTCTGAAACATTTTTCCTTAAAATGCACTGTTCAAGAGATATTTGAGGTGATAGATTAAAATGGGACACCCTGTATATCTCACGCTATTGAGAGTTCAATTTTGATTTTATATTAATATAAAGATAAAGACAATATTAGGTCATATATAATAGTCACAGATAAATGTAATAAACTTACACAATTATTTGTTTTAAATTTTAATTATTTTGAATTTATTAACAAATTCTGATATACAATTAAATAGATTCATCAGCTAGATATTATGATTGGAACTTTGTATAATACAAAGTAAATTTATACACAGGGTGTCCTATAACTCTTAATTAATATTTCTGAGAATGAAAGAGGATGAATTTTTGAACTAAAAAAGTTCTTTTCTTAATTTTGACTCAAACCATTATATTTACCGAGTTATTAACAATTAAAGTTGATCAATCGGATTGTGCCCAGTCGGAATACGCAGGAGCGCAGCATACTATAGGATTCCTCGTTCTCATTGTACATTCCCCCGATTAAAATTTTATTGTAATTTTTCATATTAATTAATAAATAAATACATAGATAAATAAATAACTTACCCATTTATTGATTTATACATAGTTTAAGCCAAAATTTGGGAAAGGAACTTTTAGTTTAATATTTTATGCTCTTTCACTCCCAGAAATATTAATTAAGAGTTATAGAACATCCTTATATGAGTGATCACATATATAAATTGCTCGAGATAATCAAAATGATACAAAAGATAATCTATAAGAAGTAAGAGTAATGATTTATTTTTTATTAATGTATTAATGTGTGCATTGGCATAATCATTTTTCATTAATGCATAAAATCATTTCTTCCTCGATCTCGAAAGACATATAGAACGTACAAATATAAAAATATGTATATAAAAAGTTTGTAATAAAAGTTTTTTTATACAATGCATATAAATTGTACAATGTTTGTATAATATATGAATTTAGAAATGAATCTACGGATATACCAATTTCGTTTCATTTATGTAATATAATTGTATAAATTTGTATAAATACAAAGACATTGTATAAAAAGCTTAAAATAGTAAACTTGAAATACACAGATATATTCTTACATCTATATTTTATCAGAGCTACAATTACCCTTTATATCTCATCAAAATTTTATTTACGTGTAATCACGGAATACTCAATTGCTTTTGTACCCAAGCGGAACTTTTGTAGAATCTTGGATCACCGATTCTCAGAGAGGCTCTTTTGTAAAAGTAATAATACAGCACTGCAACTTTATAAAAATCCTGAATTATCGTTTATTTATCAACGTTCTAAGATATAATATTCTATGTTTTCTAATGTTGTACCTGTTCTATGTGCAGAATAAAGAGTGTGAAATTCTTTTGTCCAATGTTTTAACGGCGTTGACCAATGTATACTGATGTGCCATGTATGCAAACTGATTGATAATATCATATAAATAATGCATAATACTAATGTCATACGGAATCTTGTGTACAGTAGCTGTATCAAACCTGTCTGAAAATGAAACCTGATTTAAATATCTCTGTCAAATATATATGATATAAGAGATGTAAAAACTTGTCAATCAGTAAACATAATTTAGTAATTCCAGCTTTAAACAGAATATTGTAGATGTCAGTTGCATCCAAATTAAGCTTGTGTTCCACCAACAAAGTTTGCCGACATAGTAAGATTACTAATATCATTTAAATAATTATGAAACAGCAAATTCTGCTTGATTTTTATGATTGGTCTGCCATCATATTCTACAATACTTACAATTTTGCTGGCATTTTGCTAAGGAATTCCACATTATCTAATTGTATGGAAAATTGAGTGAATAGAGTTAGTTTTTTTTCACATATGACATTAGACTTATAATACAGTGAATAAAGATATCATAGACACAAAGCTCAATAATGGATAGTTTTTTTGAGTTTGGTGTATCAAAAATGTAAAACTTGTGTTCACAGAGCACATTTGATACACTACACCTAAAAAAATATTCATTATTGAGAGTCTACATCTTTTATTTATTACATTATAAGCTATATTATATGTAAAAATTAATGCGGGATCAACAATAGAAGTCGCAGATGGATTTTAAGTCATAGAAAATTGACTAATCATAATTTAATATGAGAAGAATAATCGATTGTGATTAATTTTTTACGACTTAAGATCTCACGACCGTCTATGACTCCTATTGTAGACCCCATATAACTTGTTTCATTGGGATCCAATTTTTCAGTTCCTTTGACACACTTGAGGAGCAAACTTTTAAAATGCGTCTCGTCCAAAATTTTATTTTCTGAGTTAGAGAAATGACGTAGTGTTTAGTGACGAAATATTTATATTTTAAGCTAATCTGAAATGTTCAGAGAGCATTTGTTTTTACTTTCAATATATATGCTGAAAGCAGCCTAGACATTCAAAGTGCATTATGTCCTTTAACTAAAGGTAAACAAAATACATTTCTTTACACTTTTAGCATTTTTAGTAATTTTTTTAACTTTTAATATTCTAATGATTGGCATATTGTTATTTTCTGTAAAGTATGTTAGTTTTCTTTATCGTTTTCTGAAAATTGTAAATTTCGGACAAAGCGTATTTTTAAAGTCTACTCTTCACTTGTAAAATATATTTTTAACAGATTAACACGCTGTAAATTTGCAGTATAACATTCCTTACTCTGATTTTCCTGTAATTTCGTATATTTCGAGAAAGAAAATTATCATTCAATTCTTGTTTTTCTCTTAATTTCAAAGTTTTTTTTGTCAATATAAAAAGAAAGACAAATTGTGTGTGTGTGTATGCGTGTGTATGTGTGTGTGTATGTTACATAACTATTCTCTATAATTTAAATTATATAAGAAAATAGTTTGTATAAAGACTATGCGTTTCGCATTCTTATGCCAATTTGGGCATTCTAAGAATAGATCTGGACATGGCGAAAACCTGGGAAACATATAGTCTTTATATAGAAAGCACCCATGGAAGCCTCAAGAATAAAACAGTTTATGTATTTAATTAATAAAAGCAGAGAATATGTAGAAAATAATCATCAAATTATCAGTTTCTTACTGACATAAAAAAACTTAAAAAAAAAAGAGAACTTGAGCGATGGGACTTCTCTTCTTGGAATAAGTTCTACTCATGAAAATACATAAATGTAAAAAAATAACATCTGGCTACAAATTTGAATTAGGAGGTTTACCTGAAAGATGTAAGTAGAAAAGAAGTTTACTAAGAGCAACGTGAGGGCTATGATGAGGCAAAAGTCTTGAATTCTGAAATTGTTGCATCGATTAAACGCAATTTCACAACAATGAATGGATCGTTGCAATAAAGGCACGAAGAAAATTGTAAAAAATTATTACGCACACATAAAGTACCAGTAGATCGGTTGGATGCTGCCTGGCAAAACTTGCGAACGAATTTATGCAAACGTCAAAAAGCAATATAACATATTGCAGAATTACGATAACCATGTATTGCCTCGTGTTTAAGGAACCCATTTACTGTTTGTTGTTATATTTGTACATACAAGAAATCTCATGAAACGTAAATAGGTACACATAAGCACACGATGCGGCACACGATGCTTATTTTCCTGCTAGATTGCCTGAATTATAGCGTTTTCGGCCCGATCGGATTTGCACCAATCTTGGTTGGATTAATCTTTCTTATTGGTTGATGTCACCCGCTCTACCAATAGGAGAGCACCAAACGCCATTAATCCAACCTAGGTTGGTGCAAACCCCATCGGGCCGAAAACGCTATTAGAATCTTGCCACCGTATTGGCTGCGATGCTGTCAGTGCCCAGTATCACAGCCAATACGATGGTAAGATTTTAATCCAATAAGCTAGCAATCCAGCTTATTCCAACAGGAAAACAAACATCGTGTGCCGCAGGCTTAGGGCCTGTGCACAATAGAGGAACAAGAATTAGATATTAAGATTTCAACCTATCAGAAACCGTGTATTCCGATGTAATCGGTTTCTGATAGGTTAACATCTTAATATCTAATTCCTGTTCCTCTATTGTGCTCAGGCCTATAAGGGTATATTCACACAAACTTGCATAGCAGCATAAACATGTGCATAAAGAAAAAGCGGGGAGCGCAGACTCTTGCATAACGCATAACACATGAGGCATAAGAAATTGAACCAACCAGAGTTCTCTATTACATGGAAGGGAAAGAAACGGAGAACTTCGATTGGTACATATTCTTATACATTACGTGTTATGCGTTAGGGTATATCCACACAAACTTGCATAGCCGCATAAACATATACATAAAGAAAATTATCCAATTGCAGTTCTCTTTTAAAGTCGTACATAAAATGTGATTGGATAATTTTCTTTATGCATACGTTTATGCGGCTATGCAAGTTTGTGTGGATATACCTTTAGTCCGAATCTACAATAAGTGTTTTATGCCTTATGCCGTAAGAAACTGACCAATTACAGTCGAATCCGAGAAGAATAAGCGACTGTGATTCGCCCATTTCTTATGGCTTAAGGCTTAAAATTGTAGATCCGGGGTTATGCAAGAGTCTGTGCTCCCCGCTTTAAGCTTGTGGAATATGAAACGCTAGTCGGCCAGATTGTCGCGCAAGTGGTTGCTATAACAACTGTTGCCTAACCCAACTTGATCGTCGACAAAACTCTTGGCACGAATGACGTGACAGCTTGAAGGTTAAATAAAATTTGCATACTGACATTACTGACTCTTCTCTGTTTCGTATCCGTTAGATTTATGATATCGTGCATACCTGTTGATCTTGATCGACAGAATGAAGTGCATTACTCCTGAAATTTCGTGGCATAATCGCGACCCAGTCCTAAGTGTTGATATACAAAGCGGTTTGTACGAAAATCTGAAAGGAGAGACGTTTTGGAGAGTGGCAACTGGAGGAGCGGACTGCCATGTTTTGGTAACATAATTAAATTGGAAATTATAAAAACTCATACAAAAATATTATTAAACATTAAGATTTGTTTTGATCGAATAGGCATTCACTTCTTCGCTTATTTGTGTTATTTATATATTGGCCGCTTTTTTATTTATTATTATAATTATACTAGGTATTTACTTTGAACATAGCTAAAAATTAATAGTAGTTTATTTTTCTTTATATATGTATGTGTGGTAACAAAGAAAAAATATAAGGAAAACCACAAAAATGTGTAATTTTTATTAAAAAATCAAGTTATATTTATAAATATAAATATTTGTAATAAATAATAGTGTGTGTGTGTGTGTGTGTGTGTGTGTGTGTGTGTGTGTGTATGTATGTGTGTGTATAGTGTATTATTTTTAATAACAATAATAGCCTAAATATATAATATTTATAATATTAATGGAACATAATGCTAAAATTTGTACATGATTTTAGTAATGTCGTCAGATATTTGAGAAGTAAGGATTTGTTTAACATCTTGATCTAATTACGATTACACATTCAAGGATTTCGCAATTTAAATGATTGTTTGTATACACAGATTTGGCATTTAACAACAACCAAATATGGAGGAGCTACTGTGAATTTTGCAGCAGACTTGGATCGTCATCAGAGAGCAGTAAATGCTGTGAGATTTTCTTCGTCGAGGGAAATTTTAGCATCAGGAGATGATGGTTCGGCCACTTGATGTTATTTTATTAACTACTTATTGTCCTAATCTTGTTAAGGAAAAGAGTTGCCTAAACTACAATTGATTTCAATACACAGAATCGATTATTATTTTGTGGAAAGTAAAGGAGGGAAGAGACTTCTCTCCACCTTCAGGCGATACTGAAAATAAAGAACAGTGGACTTCCTGGAAAGTACTGAAAGGTCACATCGAAGACATTTATGATATTAGTTGGTCGCCGGACTCCAATTTTTTAATTTCTGGATCTGTTGATAATACCGCTATACTATGGGATATCCAGAAAGGTCGTAAAACTGCGATATTACAGGATCACAAAGGTTTTGTTCAAGGAGTATCTTGGGATCCTTGCAATCAATATGTATGCACTATCAGCACAGACAGGTATGTAATCCATAATTGAACAGCATGTTGGCAAAAATCATTACCTGCACTTGAAATTTTTCGGCAAGAACAAAAAAGCTTGTATAATTTTTCTCATTCAAGCTATCAATAAGATTAAAAAATTAAAAAACCTATTAGTTTTAGTTAACAACAAAATGTGTGTAATAAGGAATATATTTTCTATTTATTAAAATGACTGATTTTGCAGCTGTAGAAAGAACTTTTAATTGATTTTGTAACAAATCTCTACCATTTTTATTAAACATAATTGATGGATATAACTATATTTGCAACAGTAAGAATTTAGGGATTTGGCTTCTTTTACAATGAGACTCACCTTCTCTAATTTTGTAGGATTTATAACTTTTGCATATTTTTTTAATCATTCAATTCGTAACTAAAAAGCTAAGGAAAATTTTGCAATATTTCGTTTTTTAATTTTTGATATAGCTGCTCTCGCGCATTGACTATTTAATTATAAATTACGCAAACGATAAAGTGTCTGCTAAATTTTAATTATGAATCAAATTCATTGTTTTCAGATACTGTCGTTTAATAAGCATTGCCACGAAAAAAGTTGTTCAACGCGTTTATAAGTCTAAAATTCCAACACCATCCGGTAGCTCATTACAGGGGAAACTCGTGCGTCTATTTTACGACGACACTTTCAAATCTTTCTTCCGCAGGCTGACCTTCTCGATAGACGGATCCCTAATTTTCGTTCCATCTGGAATAATAGAGTTGCAGGAGACTACAGAGACTATATCGAATGCAGTAATTGTTTTCTCTAGAAAAGATATAAGGGAGTCAGTATTAAATCTCTAACAATTCCAAGTCCCTAACTTGACTTAAAAAACAATCATAATAATAAAATCGATTTTTGTAGACCAATAATGATCTTACCTACTTTAAATGAATGTACTATAGCAGTACGATGTTGCCCTGTCTATTTTGAATTGCGACAGGATAGTCCAGATACTTTGGTATCGTTGCCTTATAGAATGGTATTCGCTGTCGCGACGCAGAGTTCTATATTACTTTACGATACGCAGCAGACTTCTCCGATCGGTGTGGTGTCGCTCATTCATTATGGTAGATTAAATGATCTTTCGTGGTACGTTATTGTCAATATGGTATATTTGTTATTCAAATTATTTCCGAGTCTTAGCGTCTTTTTTTATAGGTCTAGCGATGGCAAAATTTTAATCACGTCTTCGAGCGATGGCTATTGTTCCATAATACACTTTGAAGAAGGTGAACTAGGAGAAGTTTATAAGATGAAAAAAAATTCTTTACAGGAGAGTACAATAATAAAGGAAGCATCCAAAAATTCTAATAAAAAATCTTTGTATAGTACAATCAAAGACAAAAACAATGTTTCAACGTTCGATGTGGATGATTGTGCGATGGATGTTGAACTTATAGAAAGCAGCACACTCAACGCAGTAACAAATAATCGATCTGAAGAACTTAATGCACAGAAACCGGACGAAATTATTATTAGCGAAAATAATTTACAGATAAACAAGAAATTGAATGAAGAAGAAACAGAAGATATCAAATTGGTGTATAATGAAGAAAATAGTAACAATGCGACCAAAATCAAAACCAGAAATACTCCGCCAAAATCTGATGCTCCTATTATATGTCACAAAACTCCTAGAAGAGTAAAATTAATAACTTTGTCGAGTCCAAAAGGACTCAAGAAACAATAGCTTGTAAAAAATAGACTTCTAAGATTTATTATGTAATTTTTAACTATACCGAATGTTCAAAATAAAGCGTTACAAATTTTTATCTCCGAAACACGGAATTATTGAGAAAAATTGTTCAAACAAAAGTTGTAGGGTTCAAAAAGATCTATTTACTGATCTTATCAATTTGACTTTGGGTGGCGTCGTCAAGGTCAGGTCAAGGTCATGTCGATTTTTTAAAATGGAACATCTATTTTTTTTCCATTGTCAAGATTATTAACGTGAAGCTATCTTTTTTCAGCTTGAATATTAAAACTCAATAGATTCATTAAAGTTCAGAAAGACATTCTCCCAAAATTTTCCAATAAAAATGTGGTTTACAAGATTCCTTGCAAAGATTGCGATCCATCATATGTTGGGCAAACAGGTCGAAAATTAGTCACTAGAATATCTAAGCATCGAAACCACATTAACAGTAGTAAAAAAAACCAATCAGTGATCACAGAATATCGACTTGGTTTTAACTATGAATTCGATTAGAAAAATGTCCAAATTCTTGATATAGAGAGTAGGGCTTCAAGATTGATTCGGATTTAAAACTATCCGGATATCCGTTTATCCAAATTACGAATAAATGTGATGCTTCAAATTCGGGTTATCCGGAGATTCGAATTTTCTAAGATATCCGAATCTGAGATCCGAATAGTAAAAGTCGAATACAGATCCGATTCTCAGATTCGGTTCCGGATTTGTAGCAAACTTATAACGAATTCGGTTGGATGTATTAGTGCGGACTGAATGTATATTAAAGTCATTACATTATATACTTATTTAATCTGAGTGTAAAAATGAAATACAAATGTTTCTAATATAAT